ATCCGTGGGTCTCGTACTAATGAACAAGACTCCCAGGCAGGGGCGGACTGACAACTCATGGGGCCCCCGGGCAATAGGGGATCATGGGGCCCCTGTGTCCTTGACCAAACTCAAAAAAGCCTATGAAAAAGGTACCACGGGCATCCCATTGGGGCCCCCTACTGACCCCGGGGCCCTCTACTGACCCCGGGGCCTCGGGCAGTGCCCGAGTTTCCAAATGGTCAGTCCGCCCCTGCTCCCAGGACTCTCAGTTCCCAATTACCTGATAGCTGTGATAGCCTTTGATTGGCTATCACAATGATCAGACACAGCATTGATGTACATTTATTAAGCAGAGATAATTTATCTTATTTCAGTTCTCTGCAGTTCTCAGGGATTTATCTTCTCCCCCATCCCCCTGTGCATGAAGCAGAGAACATTTGTTCTCAGAAGGAGAAGAGAGGAGACTTTTTCCTCTGAGAACAGCTGAGATCTGTGTAGAAGGGAGAGGGTCTGCATGTGATCTGACATAATTGTGTGATTACAAATCACCAGATTATAACCGCTTCCGCGCCACCCTATAATAGCAGAAATACTGCTACAGGGTTACATGGGTGCGCAAAATCAATATACTATATATATATATATACTGTACACTATATATAAAATATTCATATATACATGCATAAACATATATATAGTTATAATGAAGGAAGCCTTCTTCCTCACATCACAGCAGCTTCTCACCAAAATTCTCCAGCTCTGGGCTGGAGAATCTGAGACGAAAATGTTTTAAGGAGATAGCCAATGAGATCTTCAGATCTCACCTTCATAAACTGGCCATCTCTGGAAAAGTGAATGACAGAGGAGTGTGTCCTGTGATGAGAAGTGAAGAAAATGTTCTCTGCTCCTCACCTCAGCTTCATAAACTGGCACACCTAAGAGATCAGCTGTGATCATCAGGATCTTGGCTTTTCTCTCTTTCTAAAATGGACACCATTGTGTTTTCTTTCTCTTTTGAAAGGAGAGAAAGATACATAGTATAGTTTTCTCCTTTCAGGAAAGAAAGAGGCAAAACATACAAAATTGTGTAAAAGATGTAAAAAAAATAAAGAAAAAATAGCTAGATACAGTAAAGGCTTGATCTAGATTGGTGTCAGAGTTAGTGTTAGGGTCAAGATAAGCATCCAAAGGTCAAGGCTGAGATCAAAAGTCGGGGTCAGTATATTTTAGGTAGGATTTTCAAAACACACCTTTTTAAAATTAGTATCAGTGTCAGTTAGTATCAGTGTCAGTTAGTATCAGTGTGTTTTAGGTATGATAGCGTATAAGCCAGTGGTCTACAAACTGTGGCAGGGGCCGGATGAGTCCCTTTGCTTGCTTTTATACAGCCCTTGAGGCATTATACCCCTCACCAGCAGCAACAGTGGGGCATAGTTCCTGCCACTGACACCAACAATGGGGCACTATTCCCCCCACTGACACCAATGATGGGGCACTATTCCTTCCACTGACAACAATAATGGGGCATTATTCATCCCACTGAAACCAATGACAGGGCACTATTGCTCCTACTGACACCAATGATGGGGCACTATTCCTAACACCGACACCAATGATGGGGCACTATTCCTTCCATTGACACCAAAAATGGGGTATTATTCCTCCCACTGAAACCAATGATAGGGCACTACTCCTCCTACTGACACCAATGATAGGCACTATTCCTCCCACTGACACCAATGATGGGCACTATTCCTCCCACTGACTCCAACAATGGGACACTATTCCTCCCACTGATACCAACAATGGTAAACTATTCCTCCCATTGATACTAGGGATGGGGCACTATATCTCCCATTAATGCCAATAATGAGACATTGTTTACTCCCACTGATTCCAGGACATTTTCTTCTCCCACTGGCCACAGCCACCCTAAAGTCTGAAGGACAGTAAACTGGCCCTTCGTTTATAAAGTTTGGAGACCCCTGGTATAAGCAAAATGCACCCTATAGTTTCTGGGCCCTACTATGGATATAAACAACAAATAACATATGGATAGGCAGTATTTATTTTGGTTGTTGTTTTTTGGTGGAAGGCTATGGTGGTAGCAAGAAATATCCATTACACTTTAACACCAAATGAAAGCCACATTTTTCTTGAAAGATAAAAAAAACAAGGTATAAGGCTCCTGGATACACAATGTAGCTGCAATGAGATGAACAGTTTTACCAACACATGTAAATTTAGCAAAATTGGGCCTGGGCATTAAGGTTTGCTTTACCAGTCATGAAGGGGTTAAACAAATGACAAGAGAATAGCAGAAGCAGGTCAATATTACCTATCACCCACATATCATTCTAATAATTTTTCCTCCATGCTCATTTTCCTGTCACCACCACCATTCTCAGCCAAGGTAGCCACAGACAGAGAGAGGAGACAAACATATCTCTTGTGCCATCTTGCAACACAGCTGGAAGGCAGCTCAGTTTCCAAACATCCAAGGATCCAGATTTTGACCTCAGTAGAAGCTGCTGTGTGCTTAGGCTGGCTATAAATAGTTCAGTGAAAGCAGGAGATGTCCCTAATTCTGATCCTTTCCTATAATTGTCAGGGAGTTAAAGAGTGCTTGCCATCTCTCTCCCATTTTGATTTAGAATATAGGAGGAAGAAAGACAAGACTGGCAGTAAATCATTTCATTTGATCTGGATATTTGACGTGAACACAAGTTTCCATCACGTTATTGAACTTCTCTCAAAAAAGCTTGTTCACACTTCTGTGCATATGATTACCTGTATTTTTCTGCACAGCACAATGCCAGGTCTCTGCTAAGGCACATAGAAAAACTATTGTTTCTTATGTTTCACATTCACACCACAATCCTGCAGGGATATTGCAGTGCAGATAAATGCAGACATACTGCATTTTTCTGCAGAGCATCAGCCAGCACTGCAGTTCACTGCACCACAGTGCAGCTGCAGTCTGGAGACCTAAATGGGGTGCAATTTTGTACACTCTCAATAAATGGAAATGAAATGCAAATAGCAATAGTCTGGTTGCAGCAAAACTTGAAACTTGTATTAAGCAGAATGCTAATGTTCAAAACACCCTAGCAGGAGAGCACCTCTTAGGGAAATAACTCTCAGTTCAATGAACGACAGCGTCTGTTTAGACGGTGAAGTGTGGCCTGGCCTGGTCCCAAGAGGAGAGACTTCCTTCCAGGTTAACAAAGCCCTAGTCTTTCTCTCCTCATCAGGAACCTTTCCCTACTGCTGGTTGCTGTCCCTGACAAGTGGGGTCACTCTCTCTACACTAGCTACTCACAAAACCTGGGGCAGGGACTTAAATAGACCTTGCTGACCCAAGATGGCCACCAAACATCACATGGCCACAGCGTAACCAACCAGAACACTGCTCCATTGTCCCAGAAAACCACAGAGAAACTATGTTTCCCTTTGACTTCCTCTCCAGGCTGTGGTACCGCTTGATTGAATGCCGACTACAGAGGAGCAAAAAGACTCCACCTGCCTATACGCAAGTGTGAACGGGCCCTTACTTAACAAATGAGTAAATTGTGTTCAAAGAGTCATGCAATTTTTTGTGAGGATAAATATATGTAGGTGTGTTGACAGGGGTTGGGCTTGGCTTATTAGACCAGATGTCTTCTCAGAGAAATAGGGATAATTAAAACTACACTCTGCAATCTTACGATCTAAAACAAATGAGAGCTAACACTGTTCACATGTGCTAATGTAAGTTTCAAAGAGTTTTAAAATTGCCAGGCCCTATAAGGATTACATTGTAGACTGCCTAATCAAATAACTCTCATTGATGGTTTAGGTAAGCCTGTCTTCTATCTGGTATTTCTAGACAACTCAAGACACCTACATGGATGACCATATCTGTTTTCTGCTCATCACATTCATTAACAGGGTGTTTCACATGTAAAATCAAATACATATAATCGTTCTGTAAACCCAAATATAAATCCTAATATATTGTATATGGAAATAATCAGGATCACAGTTATTCCTTGTACAAGTAATATCTGTTTTATCTTACTATTTTCTCATAGTTTATGCTTTATTAAACACTTAGTGAAGAATGTATTTTACAGAAAAAAATGGTTACAATTTTAGCAATGTTTGAATTTTGTATTTATCACATCATATGCTTTACATCTGGTATGTAATTCCTTGCTCTGAAATTGCTTATGTAGAGAACAGTGGTGACAGTAAATAGAACAATCCCCTAAACAGCTGCAAATTTATAAAATGATTTGCAGATTTAATCTGTGGATGCAGTTCCCATCAGAAACTGTACAAGCTAAAGATTGTGCATCACATAAGTTATTTTAAAAGATTTAAGAAATTAGATTTATTTAACGTATACACAGTCAGTCATAGTAGACCAGCAATGTTTATTAAAAAGCATCATTTATTGTTGTCCTAAAGAGATCAGTTAAAGCAGTATTAAACCTAAAACCAAAAATGTAATACATTGCAGCTTACCAATCATTAGTTGTGGTAGCTGCATCAATTTTCTTAGATTTTTTTTTTTAGGCTTTTTCCCCTCTGTTTTCACCTGGTGATCTGGCCAGTAACACAGCTCATGCATTAGAGTGTTGGAAGACACAACATGTTTTTTTAACCTCCCTAGCGGTCTGATTATGTCAATATTTCTGTGCTCAAAGTGGTACATATTTTTGCATGGAAATATGTTTGTTTTTTTGTTGTAGGCCTGTAATTCTTAGGAATAACTCACTGAAATCTGTTCGAACAAGAGTCTAGTAAACATCCCGGGTATGATAAAGTTTGAAACACGAAATCATAAATTATAAATATCATGGAATAATTAATAATCATAAAAATAATAATATAATAATACATTTAATCCAATAATGTAATCAAACCACAAACACTGAAATTTGAAATAGAGCGCCAAGTTCGCACATCGCTGAGCTCAGTCGGAGAATCATTTTCAGTGTCTGATGACGAACTTCCCCACGAATCATTATCACTCAATTCTGCAAGTGGTTCTGATATACTATCGCTGTTCTCTAGCTGGTCTAAAATTGCTTTTGACCTAAAGGGACGCTTTTTGGATGCCATGGACGTTTCTCAGTTTCCAGGCAGAAAGAACAGTAAAAATGCAGGCAGGGCACAGGACAAAGCACTAGGGAGAAAATGTATGTGAAATGGTTTGATACAGGAATGTTATACTATCAGAATTTAGTGTATTGAGTGAATGTCAGATTTTTTTTAATTTTTTAATTTCCCGCCGGTTTCATCCCCTGTACGTCCCGCACGTCCCGACGCACGCAGGGAATAGAACCCGGAAGACGGATGTCGGCATCAGCCGGAGGTGATGGCCGGGGACACTGCAGGGGGGACATCGCGGGAGCGCAGTGCAAAATAAGTGCTAGAGGGAATCCCTGAGCAATGCTGCAGGGTAATCCCGAGTGTAGCTCGGGGTTACCGCTTCTGATACTAAAAGTTAACCCCAAGCTATACTCGGGAATACCGCCAGGGGGGTTAATATCACATAGACTTCTGGACTGTTGAGACCTGGTTACATCTAAGCCATCTGGAGACTGATGAGGGTAGTCTAGGGAGACCAGGTGAGCAGAATTACCCAGCGGGTGAGACAGAGCCATTACATGATGGGGAAAGCGGACCGGAAGGTCTCCGGCTCCCGTTCCCGCTTCCCAACGGGCACATAACCCCCAGCAGTCCAGACATATTCAGGAGCTGTTCAGTTCCCAGCAGAGGGAGAGGCCACATGCAGCATCCCCCTCTCCCTCCCCTCCTCCCTCCACTACAGCAACATGTGCTCAGGGTGTACAGAGCACAGACACTGGGGCTGGCATGGAATCTGTCCCACAGCATGATCTCTCTTCAGACACTCATACACTTTCTTTAAGAGATCTGCAGGCAGTTGCAGCTGACATTAAAGCTACTTTTACCACAGTCCTCAGTGACCTAAGAGAAGACTGTCACGGTCGCCGGATCGCCACCCTCAACATGCGACAATCGCAGACCCGACCAACAATAATACGTCGTCACCCCAGACCTTCTCACCAAACTCATGACCAAAGGACCGGACAACCTAAAACCGCGATGTGACGTGCGTAACCATGCCACACTCAGCTGCGCCCTGCACAACAATTGTCCAGCTAATGGAACACAATCGACGCAGCGGCAGCCTGAATGCGCTTGTTACTGGGTCAGGTTAATCACGCAACTAACCCTTCACTGCCACCACCCCTTTTTTGAAACTCTCTTTATCCAAAAGGGGAAACTCTCTTTCTTTATCCAATATACACTGTAATGGTTGAAAAGTCGCCTGTCCAATACGGTCACCGCAGGCCGATTGGGCAGAGGATTAAACAAACACAGTAGCATCTCTTCAAAAGGCAGGAATTTGTGAATTGCAAGTAAGCGCACTTAGAAACAGTTTTAACACTTTCAGAAAGAAAGATTTATTACTAAAAGAGTCAAACAGGTGCAATAAAATATTTACAAAGAAAATGTAACTAGATATATATATTTATATATAAAAACAGCATATCACAGCCAAGAGATAACAGGGAGAAGTTAAAAGGTTAAGTTACTTGCCATGTTAAGCCTTGAAGTAGCAGATCCAAGTTGCAGAGCGAAGGGTCTTTGATCTCCTGCTGTTACGATGGTAAAATTAGGAGATCTCTTTAGCTCAACCTCAGGCCTACAGCCTGTGCTTTTTTTTTAAAGTCCCCCAGCAAGGGGTGCCTTTGAGTAACTGGCCAATACTCTGTTTAGGGAGGGATCTCGGGCGGACTCTGAATTAAAACCAATATCTTCATAATCCATGATATGAAACGCAGGGACAAACTGACTTGAGGAATGTTCATTTCATTCTGTCACCTTAAGCTGTTAGGTTTTTATGAGGTTACAATCTCTTTCAATTCCTGGAGAAGCTGCCTTATCTGTTTTATGATGTGTGAGCCTACACATGTTCTTGGGTCAGTGCTTCCAATTCTCTGAGGAACACTGGCCTTATCATGACTTAGGTGAGGAAGGCTACACTTTTGCAGACTGCTCGGCACCGAACTAGGGATGCTTTGCCCTGCTGTTGACCCATAACCAGCACACACCATCTGTCACTGTGCCTCTCAGGAAGGGGAGGGGGAAGGAGAATAAAGGATTGAGGAATACTTCTAATAGAAAAAAGGGGAACTCCGCGTCCATCTCTGATGAGCAAGTTTGCTAAAAAGACCTTCATTTTGTTAAGTACAAGAATAGAGGAGGTGGAATTCACAAGCAGATCTAATGCTGATGCCATAGAGGAGATACAGCAGTTGTCAGTATCGCACACATCTCATATTCGTGATTTTTATAGACAGATTGAAGATCTGGATAATAGAGGTCGCAGACATAATATCAGATTGTGTGGCTTGCCTGAATCTGTAGAGCCGAGCAACATCGCCAAAACAGTAATTGCGATCTTCAATGATCTGCTGGGCCGTCCACCTGCTGCACCCATTGATCTGGAACGTGCACACAGAGCGCTTCGCTCCAGAGGCAGAGATTCTGACCCCCCAAGAGATGTGGTGTGTTGCTTGGTCAGCTTTCCAATCAAAGAAGACATTCTCAGAAGGGCCAGAGAAAGAAGACGCCTTTTATTTCAGGGTAATGAGATACACCTGTTCCAGGACCTCTCCTCCATAACCTTGCAACAAAGGCAAGAACTTCGCCCCCTGCTGGACACACTTTGCTCTCATAACATACCATACAGGTGGCGATTTTCCATTCTGACTTCTCCGCTCAAGCTCAGGGGCGCACAGCCTACCTGCGAGTTCCAGAGGATCTCCCCAGCTTCTGTTCCGCACTGGGACATTCCTCTAGTTGAGCTTCCAGATTGGTACAGATCTTTGCGTCTTCCAAATGCTACTGAATCTGGTCGAGTACCAAGTGACACAGATTGGCAAGGCCCTCATCTCCGCCACCGCTGATCAGTCCCTTCCACTCCTCCGAGACTTCCTGCCAGAGGCTCCACCACCAACAACAGCCCGATGGCCTTTCCTGCACATCGCAGACCCCGCCATGATGCCTAAAGGCCTTTCTTCAATCTTTTCCCTGACTTTCTCTCATCAGCAATACTTATCCAGATTATGATCTTACCGGATCCCTCCCATCGACTCCAGGACCATGCCGGTAGCACCTCGGGTCCTATTTGGCCCCTTAACTGGAACACTTTCACCCTTTCATTTTCTGCTCTCTAACCCATCCGCCCTGGTCCAGGTCTTTTGATGCCCCTGCAGATGTTGCCAGATTCACCTCATCGATCATGAAGACCTTTTCCCTCTCTGTCTCAGCTTCTCCAATGGACCGTCAGTCCTGATGTACCTCCGCAGGCACCCTCCATGTCACCGGCCTTTTTATTGCTGCATTTTCACTACCTCTGATGGAAGCCTGGGGGATGGTCATACAGTCTTTCTCTAGCCCTGTTTGTAATGCATATGCTGATTTGTCCACTGCATAGAATCTCTGGAGAGTATGGATCTCCAGACCTCTATGCCCGGCCCCTGTTTGGTTGTATGGCCTCCCAGGGGTCTTTTGATGATCTTGCAGTGGTCAGAGGTGAATTCCATGCCCCCATTACATATTGTCTGTATTTCCCTGACCATGATCCCCACTATTCTTCATTAGAGTTTACTGTGAGAGGCTTCATACTCCAGCTCGCCTTTATACCTTTTCCAGGGGTAGTGTGGGATGGGGGGGGAGACTGGGTTGGGGGGAGGAGGGGATCCGGGCTATCATTTCCATACTATTATTATTTTACATATCAGTCTGAAATCAAGCATTACCTCGTTACACTCTCCAGGTGTTGTTCCCTGCGGGGTCTGGCCCCCTCCTTCACCTCATGTCATAACACCCATCTAAAACCACATTTACTGCTTACAGGTTTTGAAAACATCATTCGGAGTTTCTGCTGAGCTCCCCCCCAGTCCCGTCCTCTCCCCTCTCCCCTTGCCTAGCTACCGCTATTTTTTCTTTTTAGACACGAGGTGCTACTTGATTTTTAGAATGTCGTGGAGTCCTGCGGGAGCAGGGTGGGAGATGGATGGTTTGAGTTTTTGAGAGGGAGCCGGGAGGAGAAGAGTTAGGACAGATGAGAGATACCTTAGGTTTCCAAAAAGAAATGGTGCACTATGTCTCATTTTTCCCAATTGTTTCCTTTGATGGTTGCTTTTTTTTAAATGGTTCCCCTGCTGTTTCTGTGATGTTGCAATGTTTTTGCCCTAAACAGATTATGATACGATTTGCTTTTCATCTTAATGATATGCAGGTTTTCCATCTGGCTTTCACTGATGTTTTATTTTCAGCATGGACTCGCACACTGGCCCTACCATGGCACACCTACGATACCACAACTCTTCCCATAACTTTAGGATTATGCTATGACTGCATTCTACTTAGATGTGCATTTTCTCATTTCCCTACATACAATGCTTCCACCACTATATGCCCTAATGATATATATTCGGTCTCCTTGCCCTCATGACATTTATTACATTTTCCTTCTGATATCCCTAAGCTTGTTGCTGCGTTTTACCTCACCCATTATGTCGACGATGGCGGTTGTGCCCCCATCTATATCTTCATTCAAACGAATTGTGCTCACCCTCCCTCCCCTATTCTTGCATTTTTTTTAAGGTCCATGGCCCGGCGGACTCTTTCATTTTGGGTATAAGTCCACCGCGTTTCCCACACAGCGAACTTTGAGAGCTCTCGCTGAACTTTTTCCGGCCATCTTTACTCCCTTGTCCTCTGCCTCTCATCTCCTTTCATTCCTTGTTCCTCTTTCTGCTATTTCCCTCCTACCCCTTCTTCTTTCTTCTTTCTTGTTCTTCTTTTCTCCTTCCCGTATCTTGGTGGGTCAGCTGGTCTACCCCCACTGCCGGATATCTCTCTCTCTCTCTCTCTTTTCTCCCCTCATTTCCCTCTTCCTTTTCATTTCTTTTCTTTTCCTTCCCCTCTCCCTCCTTCTTCTCCCCCCCCCCTTTTTTTTTCTTTCCTCTCTTCCCCATACCCCCTTTCTTATCCCTTTAGGTTCCCTTTACTCTCCCGGACATGCCTTCTCTCAACATTCTGTCCGGACATCTTTCGCTGAAAGTTCTGTCTATTAATGTGAAGGGTCTGAATACCCCTGAAAAGTGCTCTCTCTCCTGCTTTCGCACCTTTTTAAACAGAGAGCGGATATTGTCTTTCTTCAGGAAATGCACTTCTGTCACGATGCCATACCCAGGCTTACTAACTCCCGTTTTACGACAGTTTATCATGCTCCTAACCCTCATGCTAAATCTAAAGGCGTTTCCATTTTGATTGCAAAGCACCTCCCTCTGGTTATCTCGGA